TAAGCTCCCTTTCGCTAACGTGTTTTCCGGTGAGGAGGGTGGAGATTGAAGAGAGAGAGAGAGAGAGTGAAAGAGAGAGCGCTGTCTGGCCAAGCTTTCCCGCTGCCTGTCCAGCGCGGACCACCCTCCCCGTTAGTTAGGGCTTTGGCTGTGGGGTTAACAGGAGCCGAGGGGGAGGATTCCCTGACACCAGTGACTGGTCTGTCCTTCCAGGTCCTGCCGATGAGCCGGGCCGGGATACTGCGGCCCCTCCTGGCTCAGGAACCGGGGACTAGAGACTGTCACAGAGAAGGGGGGTCTCGATTCTCACATTCCCTTGGAAAACATGTCACCTTGGAGCCTGTTCAAGCTCCGGGGAGACCCCACTTACCTCCCCTCCCAAGGAAGATGGTTTGTCACTGGGCCTAAGGGTTTCTCCTCGAACCTCAGAAATTGGACATATTCGAATAGCAGACAAGTGTAGATAATGTTCCCTTATACACTGCCCCCCCGCCTGCCCCCACCCCCCCCCCCACCTCGAGCGACTTGACCCCTTTCCTTGAGGGGAGGCGGTGTTACAGGGAAGTTAAGGGGGGGGTTTTAGGACCACTTACCTTCCGAGGGCCCAAATTCTACCTGGTCTTAAGCTGGTTTTACACTTTTTCTAAATGATCTCTAGCAGTTACCCTCTTCCCCACCAACGCGCACATTCTCCAGGTGGGTTAGGCGGGAGAGGGACGGGGGACAGACATCCTTACTCCCCCCCACCACCCGCTCCCAACACCCATTACCGGTTCAATGTTCAATTGGTGAACATTTTTGAATCCAGTCTCTGCTTGGAAACCCACGATAATCATCCTCGCATTTCACACAGCGCCTCAACATGTCTCCGAGACGTCTCAAAGCGCTTCAAAGTGAATCGACCGTATATTTTGTGGGCGAAATGCAGCAGCCAATTGCGCACAGGAGTGTCCCACAGGTAGTCGTGGATTGAGTGACCAAATTATTATCATTTTGTTTGGAGGAATTATTACCCTTGGAGAGCGATCAACCAATTGACTAACAACCAGGTCCCCACTTACTGCTGAGTAAACAGAGGCGTGTGTGTGGAGCAAGGAAACTTGCCCAAGGTTTTGCCCTGACCGGGAATTGAACCCAGGTCCTCTCGCTTGCGAGGCGAGCGCTCTAACCACTGAGCTACAGGACTGCACGCAGACATTTTCCACTGGGGATAAAGGAAGAGGTCACGTGAACCCTCATGTCTGAGCCACAGCTATTTGCTCAGCTCTCTCTCTCAGATCTTAAATTTTAAGACAAAGTTGGCGATGCTGCAAAGGCTAAGACCAGGTAGGAATTTGGGGGTCCGTTATCTTATAGGATCCTAGAATATTACAGCCCAGAAGGAGGCCATTCCGGCTCTTTGAAAGAGCTACCAACCAGTCCCATTCCCCCACTCTTACCCCCAAAGCCCCGCAAATGTTCCGTTTCCAGTCCCTATCCAATTCCCTTTCGAAAGCTATTATCGAATCTGCTTCCACCAGACTTTCAGGCAGCGCGTTCCAGACCGTAACAACTCTCTGGGCACATAAAATTCCTAGTGACTAGGAAGTCGGCAGCCAAAGCCGATGGGATGGATTCTACCAGCCAACACTAAAGGCTGTGCCCTCCCCACTACTCCACCACCCTCAACTCTCTACCTCACCGCCCTCCCTCCTACCTTTCCTGGCTGTTGGCCGGGAAATAAAACAAATACATTAAATGAAGCGTTAAAAGCAATTGCAACTGGTTTGGCCTGGCGATGGGTTCTGCCATTGCCACACCAGTAACAGTCGGTATTGTGGAGATAGACATCGTCGAGACACGTGGGCTGTTTCAGTCCATTACACAGTGGAGCTTTCCAAGTCCATACTTTACACAGTGTTAAAAACCCGTCACAGCCACAGAACCCACCCATCCATCAACACCCCCTTTTACTCCCCCCCCCCACCCTCCCCACACACACTCCCCACCCCCCCCACCCCCCCATCCTGCCATCATGGTCTGTGAGTGGGGTCGAACAGACGGGTTCAAAAAGAGAGTGAGGAGAGAGAAGAGAGAGAGAAAAAGAAAAGAGAAATAGGTTTCGTTTTATTCAAAATAAAAAGAGAGGGGGAGCGAGCAAGAGAGCGAGCAACAGAGGGGCAAGGCTAACGTGTAAGAAACCCCCCCCTCCTCCCCCACCCCCACCCAGGAAAGCCCATCCACTCATGCAATGTAGTGCATCATGCATTTTACACACACAGGCAGGCTTCAATTCAATTCACAGTTACAATTTGAGACGATTTCCTATATAATCATCGGTCAAGTAATTCTCTGTCAGTGTGCACAGGCTGATGCCAGCCCATATCACATACTATAGTTTGTTTGAAATGCAATGGGATTGAGGGTAATAATAATAATAACCCTTGATACAGCACCTTATCACTTCGTCCAGACATCTCAAAGCGCTTCACACAATGTACTGCAAAGTGGATTGACTGTATTTTGTGGGTGAAGTGCGGCAGCCAATTGCTCACAGCAGCGTCCCACAAACAGTCATGGATTGAGTGACCGATGTTTTTTTCAGGGGTTTTTTATCCACCAGAAAGCGATCCGCCAATTGACTAACAACCGGGTTCCCACTTACTGCTGGTAAACAGAGGAGTGCGTGTGTGTGTGTGTGTGTGTGGAGTAAGGAAACTTGCCTGAGGTTTCGCTCTGCCCGGGAATCGAACCCGGGTCCTCTCGCCTGCGAGGCGAGTGCTCTAAGAATTTAGAAAAGCAAAGTGTGCCCTTCCACAAAGCAGAGTTCAGCCACAAACGTAGAACACCAGTGAGTTGATCGATGAACAAAAGAACGGATTTTTATCCTCCCGCAAGCTTTTTTCCCCTTAATTTTCTCCCCACTGGCGCTTTTCTTTACTCAGAGGGTAATTAATGACTGGAACAGGGGGGTTGAGGCCAGGACACTGAGACTCATTTGAAATACGGCTTAATGCTGAATACAGTGGGTATTCTGGAAGAGATCAAATAGTCCAAAGGGCCTCCTCACCCAAACCAATCTTGTGATAGGAATATAGGAACAGGAGGAGGCCATTCAGCCCCTCGAGCCTGTTCTGCCATTCTATTAGATCATGGCTGATCTGTACCTCAACTCCAATTGCCCGCCTTTGCTCATATCCCTGATCCCCTGACCTAACACATATCTATCCACCTCAGTCTTGAAGATGTCAATGGATCCAGCCGTAATCCACAGTGTTTTGGGGGAGAAAATTCCAGATATGAATTTGATACACTATCGGAACAGGCTTGATGGGACTGAATGGCCTCCTCCTGTTCCTTCTGCCCTCTGCCCATCAGCGATAGGATAACCTTGAGCTGCTGCTCAGACTCCAGACGCGTTCAGTCTACGTGTTCGCGACCAGGAAACACGGTTACCAACGCACGAAAAAAGGGAAATAAAAATAAACACGATTCAGAGTTAATGGAGTGGGAGGAGGTGGGGTGGGGGGGGAAATCATTTATTCCTCGGGGAGGGGAAGACTCAACTTCCTAACCCCCCGCCCCCCACCACCGAGAAAAAAAAGCCCAATAAAGCAAAACACATCTCAGGTGCAAGTAAATCTAACACTTTGAGAAAAGGCACGAGTAGCAAAACCCAAACTCAACCCCTCCCCACAAAAAAACTAACCCGCTCCCTCCCCCTCGCACTACCCACACATGGGGCGAGGGGAGGTGGGGAGGGGGGGGGCAAAGGTTTTTTTTTCCAGCTTCACCCCCCCACCCCCTTTCCCTCTTCCCCAGTCACCAAAACAAACCCATCAACTGATAAAGAGAAATTTCACAGACAATCCTGAGGTGTGATACAAAAGTCCAGAAGCAAATAATAACCATTGCATCTGATCTGACACAACGCCTGGAATGTTGAGACCTTTCAAAGCGCTTCAACAAGTAACTGGTGTCAAGTGTAGTGACTGTGTGTGTGTGTGTGTGTGAGTGTGGGGGGTGGGGGGGTTGTACAGCGAACCCAGCAGCCAATTTACATGCATCTAAGTGGTCGCCCCGAGGTGGGGGACTCTTACAATTAACCTGGTGCAATAGCGCGAAATTATCCCACGTCTTATTTCGAGCAACGTCACGACATTTTGTTTTGCCCGAAAAAAATACGCAGCAGTCGATCCACTTTACAGTGTACCCTGTGAAGCGCTGTGAGACGTCTCGAAGATGCGATCAGGCGCCGCTGTATCAAATCCAACGATTATTATTATTATTATTATCATTATGATTATCTCTAACGTCCTCCCAAACAGTCAGACAGTGGGGTGGTGGTGGTGGTGGTGGTGGTGGTGGGGGGGGAAGGAGATGGGTTGAGGGGACATGGTGGAGGGGTGGGGGGGGGGGAGAGAGAAAAACCTCGGTTTAACGGCTCACCCGGCAGACGGACATTTTGGCCGAACTCGATCGATTTCGAACGTTTTTTTTTTTCTCTCTCTCTCTTCTTAAAATGTACATGAGTCTGGGACGTTGCAGCAACATTAAGATTCTAGCCCTGTTAGAGAGAGTTATTCTGCGTCCCAATTTTCAAGACAAAATAAGACCAGACGAGACAAACCGGTTGCTTTTTTTTGTTCAGCTGTACAAACCCCCCCCCCCACTCCCCTGAAGGGTTGGTAAATGGCATATAATGCTGTCTCACAATGTTGTAATTACTGGATGGAATTTTGTCGAGGGGAGGGAGGGAGGGAGAGCGAGAGGCGGAGAGAAGGAGGGAGGGAAAGGGGGTGGAAAATGAGAAACAGGAGGATTAGCCTCTTAATTCAATTTGAATATAAATCACATCTCGTTCTCTGTTTAACCACCAGATCAGCAAACTCAGCTGTTTGCTTTTCTGGTGGGGGTGGGAGTGGGAAAGCAAAAAAAAAAAGGACCCTTGTTTTTTCTTCCAGGGGGTGGTGAGGGTTGGAGCGAGGAAGGGAGAGAGAGGGAGGGCAGGGGCGGGGGGGGGGGTGGAAACAAGACATTGCTATCGACAGCATCGGACACTGTTAAATACAGCGGCACATGATTCAATGCAGTTTATGATACATGTATTGTACAGTGTAGAGTACAGTATAAAATATGGCCTTTAAAATCTTCCTTCCTTTCTTCCCTTCATTCCTTCCTCGGATGGCTCTGGGCTTCAGTGCACATGGCAGGGTGAGATCACTTAACATTGTGGGACGTGTGGGAACGATGGGATCTTTCCTCCTCCTCCTCCTCCTCCCTCTCTCCCGCCCCCTCCTTCTTTTCCCTCCTTCATTCCCGTCACACATCTCCTCCCGCGTCTTTCCGCCGCTAATCATTTCCTCACGCTGACCACTGTAGTGACTGTCGTCACCTTGGGCTCCAGTTCCGAGCCGACCGGCGAGAACGCGGGCGGAGAGGACACCGTGGAGGCAAGACTGCATGACGTGGAGGGCGTCACAGCTGCGAGAGACAGATTGGGGGGTGGTGGTGGGAGGTGGGGGGTGGGTAAGGGTGGGGGGTAAGGGGGTGGGTGTGGGGCGGAGTGGGGAAGGGCGGGGGGGGGGAGAAAACAAAAGGGGGAACAACGGTTAGACACGGCCATGTGGAATGCAGACTACAGACAATGATGTTTTAGTGTTTGATACAGATACAGAACCTTACACGGTGACCAGCGCTTGACAGGAGCCGTCCTGGGAGTGCACACTGAGGGTGGGGGTGAGGGGGGAAGGGAGGGCGTGAGGGGGGGAGTGGGGGGGTGAGAGGGGGTAAGGGAGGGGTGAGGGGGGTAAGGGAGGGGTGAGGAGGGCAAAGGTGAGGGAGGGGTGAGGAGGGAAGGGGGGTAAGGGAAGGGTGAGGGGGGGAAAGGGGTGTGCGGTCAAAAGGTTTTAAGGACGGGCAGGTGTGGAGGGAGGCTTGAGGGGCTGAACGCCCTGTTGTTATGTTCCTATAGCTGTTCCGCAGTGCCCGCAGTGTGGAGTGAGCAATGCAGACACCACACCACACCGGGGAGGGCTTTCGTAGGGAAACTGAAGTCAACTGATGTGGTAAAGCCAAGGTCCATCCAGTCCACCTCCACCTCCACCTCCACCTCCACCGTCCCGGCCGTCGTTGGCACAGGTTCCACGTCCCAAACCATAACAATACCAATCCTCGCGTGTGACATAACGCCTTTTGTCACGTCGTCGAGACGTCTCAAAGCGCTTCACAAAACACGCTGTGCGTTTTGTGGGCGAAACGGGGCAGCCAATTGCGCACAGCAGCGTCCCCACAAACAGCCGTGGGACCACTAATTTTTTGGGGGAGCGATTATTACCCCCGGAACCCTATCCGCCAATCGACTAACCAACGGGTTCTGCTTAGACACTGCATCCGGAGATATTTTCTCCTACAAAGAAATCTATCTCATTTGCTTTTGAAAGGATCAACGCTCGCTGGGACCTGTTCTGTACATCTACCCCACTCGCTCACTGAAGTAACCTCAGCCCAGCTGTGGCTTTGTGGACAGTCTCAAAGTCACTACGGTCGTTCAGAACTTTTGATGCTCAGCCGGGTGGGTGGCTGACACGTGCGGAGGGAAACCCTTGGCCATATGTAAAGAGAATCCAAAGCGAACTGAGAGTTCCACATATGTACGCCATCTGTTCGTGGAAATTTCCCTGTGTCTAGAATGGATTGCGCACTCTCTCTCCCTCTTTCCCTCCTCCTCCCCCCACCCCCACCCCCCCATCCCCCCAACCACCAGGAGGATGCACCCTACTTAATTAATTCCACAGAGTATTAGGCATACACTGGCAAAAGCTGAGGGTTTGGGAATATGCGGTGGTCGGCGGGCGGGTGGGGTGTGGGGGGGGGTGTGGGTGAAACTGCTGGAGTCTAACCAGCTACAACCACCATTGATAGCACTGTCTGGGAAGCTTTCCCGCTGCTTGTCGAGCGAGGACCACCCTACCTGTTAGGGCTTTGGCTTGCAGGGTTAACAGGAGCTGAGGGGGAGGATTCCCTGTCCCCAGTGACTGATTTGGCTCAGGAACCGGACTGGAGACCATCACAGAGCGTGGGCTTGACTCTAATGCTCCATTGGCAGACATGTTACTTTTGTTTTACACACACACGCACACGCGCATACATATACATAATATATATATATTATATATATTGTCCCTAGTTTGGGAGATTTTCGAGCACGGAATAGTGGGGTTGTGTTGAGAGCAGGGGGCGATGAAACTCTAACCCTGAATTTATTCCAGGCCCTAAAAACTTTACGGCTTTATTAGAAATTACACTCCTCCAGGGATGCAGAGGGTTCCATCCCTTCCTTCCCACCAGGAACACTCAGCCAGAAACTGCACAATAATAATCCTTGCATTTGATATAACTCTGTATCCTGCCATTGAGACATCTCAAAGTGCCTCACAGAATATACTGGAAAGTGTAGTGACTGTGTTTTTTTGTGGGCAGACAATTGCGCACAGCAGCGTCCCACAAACCGTCGTGGATTGTTAATTGGTCACTCAATTATTAATTATTGATAACCGGGTTCCTACTTACTGTTGGTAAACAGATGTGTGGAGGAAGGAAACTTGCCTAAGGTCTGTCCGGGAATCGAATCCAGGTCCTCTCGCTTGAGAGGCGAGCGCTCTAACCACTACCCTACAGGCTCCATCTTCTCTCTCCCCCTCTCTCTCTCTCTCTCTCTCTCTCGTCTCACCGCTCCCCCCCCCCCCAAATCCCAACGTTCCCGGTCACTATCACACTTACAGTCTTTCCGGGATGTGAGTTCTGGCAGTGGATTGCTGGGGGCAGGACTGGACGGTGTGTTCAGGCTCGATCCCTCCTGACTGCTGCCCAGGTGTAATCTCCTCATGTGTCTAACCACCGCCGTGGCGTTGAAGGCTTGCTGAAACACACGCAACAAACCGATGCTTCAGCCCAGGAACAGGACAATCAAATAGAACGAGTGCCTGACCAACGTGTATGTTATACAGCGCTCTAATAATATCATCAGCATTTTTTTTGCACTTGATATACAAAGCAATATAGAATTACATTCGTACAGCGCCTTTCACGTTGGGAGGAACTCACAAGGCGGTAGATGTAGTACCTTATCACGTGGTTGAGACGTCTCAAAGCGCTTCACAGAATCCACTGTAACGTGTAGCGACTGTGTATTTTGTGGGCGAAGCCCGGCCGCCAATTGCACACAGCGGCGTCCCCGCAAACAGCCGTGGATTGAGTGACCGGATTATTATTATTTTCAAAAGATAATGTTTTGAAGGGATTATTACCTCCGGAAAGCGATCCGCCAATCGACAAACAACCGGGTTCTTTCTTGCCGCTCGGTAAACGGAGGCGGGTGGAGTAAAAAAAAAACGTGCATATAGTTTCGACCTGCCTGGGAATCGAACCCAGGTCCTCCCGCTTGCGTGACAAGAGCTCTAACCACTGAGCTGCATTATTATAATAATAATAATAATAATAATAATGATAATAGTGTCTCAACGGGCTTCACAGGATACACCTTTAAAGTGGATTGACTGGGTATTTTGCTGAGCGAAATCATGATTTAATTTTATTTAAGGTGAGTGACGTTAAGTGAGCCTTTTCGAAAAAAAAAAATGATGAACCAAATGAATAAATGGAATGCGAATTATGGGCTGAGATTCGTACAAAATTCGCACTGCGGCATTTGAACTCAATTATGTGGTTAGAATGATTTAACAGTTCATTTTATGAAAACCCATAATCCCCGTTTACTACCCTCCAGTACGTTCCCCCCAAAAAAATCTCCGATTCGTACCACACAGTCGGTTGCACATTCCACATTAACTTCATGTCAATTCAACGTACTGTCAGGAATTCAGACAAACCGATTTGATTGCGAGCTCCGCTGGAGGCATTCGGTGCGGGACGCTCACGTTTACGCTTTCTGGGGTGAAGTCACTTTAATAACGACAACAATAATCCTTGCGTTTGATGTGACGCCTTATCGCGCCATCGGGACGTCTCAAAGCGCTTCACGGAATATATCGCAAAGCGAATTGACGGCGTATTTTTTGGGGGGCGAAACGTGGCAGTCAATTGCGTACAGCAATTCACTAATTGTCGGTCACCAAACGTTGACCTCTCCCCCTCCCTCTCTCTCCCTCCATCCCTCCCTCCCCTCTCCCCCTGGGGTTTCCATCTGTTGGATGATCCTTTTTGGCATTTCTCTTTCTTTGATAAAAAATTCCAAAAAAGGAGTTCAGCAAACAATAGGGTCAGTGGGGGTCAACATTCAGGCAGACAAAGGTTGAAAGAATGCCAGTTATTTTTTTTTCCGCGTACCATTTCAGGCTCCCGAGGGAGGGAGACAGACAGACCGTGGAAGCGGAAAGTGTTGATCCTTTCAAAAGCAATCGGGATCGATTTCTTCAGGGAAATAACGTCTTGGAGATTCGGTATGTCGTTCGGGACACGACGTGCGAAAGGAATTTGACTCAGAATTGCCCAACAAGAGACATCGCCAGGAAGAACGCAAAGGGTCTTCTGATCGGAAAGAGCTCAAGAAGGTCTCAGAACCGGGTGACCGAGCCGGGCTGACGCACACCATCGTTTGGTTAATTGCCTCGCGAAATAAGTTAAATTGAGTTATTTTGGGGTTGGGAGGCGCGGACACTCACCCTCCACTTGCTTTTGGCGAAGTTCTTTCTGATCTGTGCGCTGACCGACTCGTGAATGTTCTTGTTCAGCGCTGTGTCTCCAGCAATCCTGCGAGAGAGAGAGAGAGAGAGAGAGAGAGAGGGGGGGGGGGGGGGGGTGGGGGAGAGGAAGCTCGTTACAGTGAACAGAAACAATAATCCTTCGTCTTTCACGTCAGGAAAATACAGGACTGATTGACTGTGAAGCGCAGTGACCGTGTATTTTCGCAGGCGAACACGGCAGCCAATTCTCTCTCCCGGTGTCCTGGCCGACAATCCTCCCAAATAAAATTGGTCACTCATTTTGCGGCTGTTTATGGGACGCTTCTGCGGGCAATTATATTGCTGCTCACCGATACACAGTCACTCCATTTCACAGTAATTATGTAAAGCGCTTTGAGACTTCCGTCTGACGTGATATAAGGCATGATACAATCCTTGCATTTGATATAACGGCTCATCGCGTCATTGAGACGAACATATTGTAAAGTGAATTGCCTGTGCATTCTGTGGGTGAAACACAGCAGCCAATTACTCACATCAATGTCCCACAAACTGTCGCCGTGCCCGTTTTCTTTTTGAGGGATTATTACCCTCCGGAAAGCGATCCGTAAATCGACTAACAACTGGGCTTCTACTGACTGCTGGTAAACGGAGGCGCGCGCGCGGTTAAGGAAAGTTGCCTAAGCTTTCGTCCTGCCCGGGAATCGAACCCGGGTCCTCTTGCCTGCGAGGCGAGCGCTCTAACCAACCGTCTACAGGATTCCTTTCATATCAAATACAAGGATTATGGTTATTATTATTATTATTAATCTTCAATGAAACCTCCGAAGCTGCGTTTCCCAGTACTGCACCGTTACAGGGTCCGGTCTGGAGGTCAGACAACATCTTAGTAGAGGCCGGATTTCAGGGCCGGGGCTGGTTTGTCGGATCTCTATATTGTTTTCTCAGTTTGAGACGTTTCCGTGCTCCCCCCACCACCAAAGCTGGGCCATCAAGGAAGCAGCAAGAATTCCCGCCCCCACCCCCCGCCCCACCACCACCTCACTCACACGCACCAAACCCCCACCCACCCCTTCCAAGTTTCGCTCGCACCGATTTCTTGGAAATGACGTGTGATGGTTGTTTTCATTTCAGCGCAAAGTATTCTTTTTGTCTGGAATAACAATGAGCTCAGCTCACTGGGGGGGTGTGGGGGCGGGCGGGGGGGGGGGTGTGAGTGTGAGTGTGTGTGGGGGTGTGTGTGAGGGTGTGGTGTGGTGGAAATAACAGACTAATGGATGGATGGAGCTCTTCAAAGGTACCCCCCCCCCCACCCCTTAAGAGTTGGCGGAGAAGCTGTCCCTGACGTTAGCCAAAACTGCCCGATCTTAAAAAAAAATGGTGAGAAAATATTTGGACAATCCCGACTGACTGTGTCTCTCCTATTGTTGTGACCGGAATCACTGGATCAGAGGTGTCTCAGAGGTCCAATGATGGCAGGTGTCTCTTGCCTTTGATAGAGCGAGTGCTTTATCTGGCCGTCGAGACGTCTAAAAGCGCTTCACAGGATTTTGCTGCAAAGTGCAGTGACTGCGTGTGTGTTTTGTAGGCGAATGCAGTAGCGACATCCCACAAACAGCCGTGGAGTGTGTGACCAATTTTATCTGGGGGGAGTGTCGGCCAGGACATTGGGGGAGAGAGAGAGAGAGAGAGAGAGAGAGACAGAAACTCCCTTCTCTTCTCAAGATCGCGAGATCTTTAACGTCCACCTGAACTGGCAGACGAGGAGTGAGGTTTAACGTCTCCTGCAAAGGGCTGAGTCTCCGGCAATGCGACACCTCCCGGCGCTGCATTGGAGCGTCAGCTTAGACTGCGTGGTTCCAAGCCCTGACAGTGGGGGCTTGAACCCACAACCGTCTGACTCAGAGACGAGAGAGGGAGCGAGAGCTACCGACTGAGCCAGGCTGACACACAAAGATGTCTATCTATCACGCAGAAGGTTAGATGCTCAAATTCCCGTCATGGGGAACCCACCTTAGCTGTCAGAGAGGTAACAAGATATAGATATCTAAAACCGAACCATCTACAAGGCTATGGGGAAACATCCCCCCATTCCTACGCCTTGTCCCCTCCTTCCCAATGCTCTGCGAGTGTCCAGGGCACTGGGACTATGGTTGTAAGAGGTTTAAAGGTGTGTATGTTGGTGGTGGCGGTGGGGGGAGAGAGGGGGAAAGATGACGTAATTGGCCTGATAGGAGACGTGCTGGAGAGAACGTGGGCTGCGGAGCTCCAAATCAACAGTTACACAGCGCCTTTCATGTCGGGAGGAACGTCCCAAGGTGCTGGCCGGTCTGGGGTTTGGACCCGAGCTGGAGGTTGGGATCAGGACTGGGTGGAGGGCAGGGAGGTTGGGGGGAAAGGAGGGTGACCGAGGTCACGGTCGAAGAGGAGGGTGTTGAGGTGGACCTTGAAGCCATCAAGGGAGAGAGAGAGGGAGGGAGGGAGGGAGGGAGGGAGTGAGAGGAGGTGAAGGGACTGTGGGATGGAGTTCCAAAGGGTGGGGGCAGAGAGGCTGAAGGCCCGACAGCTGATTGCGATGGGCAGGTTGGGGGATCAGCTAAAACTCATGAAGAGTGGAGCACCGGGGGTGATGGTGGGGGGGGTCAGGAGATAGTGAAAGTGAGGGGGGGTGGGGGAGAATCTGTCCTCGAGGAGACAAATAATATTTAGTCTGTGACATGTTTTGGGGGAGGGGTGGGGGTGGGGGTAATTGGGAAACGATTTATTCTGGGAAACCAGCCTGGCAGAGCTCTCACTTGGTTACGGAAAGGTTCTGAGTTATTTATTGTGTTCGATAATAAGAAACATACTTTGTGTGATTTAACTCCGCTGTTATGTCAAGAATGAACACACTTCGGCCTCTCACACTTTCTCTCCCTCCCTCCATGCAGCGGGACCCTGTGACATGGGACAGCACTACTTATGGAGCTTCTACAAACGGTTTCTTATGGTTTATTACCCCCGGAAAGGGATCCTCCAATCGACTAACAACCTAATTACTGCTCGGTCAACAGAGGAGCGTGTGTGTGCGTGTGTGCGTGTGTGTGGAGTAAGGAAACTTGCCTAAGGTTTGGTCCCGCCCTGGAATCGAACCCGGGTCCTCTCGCTTGCGAGGCGAGGGCTCTGACCACTGAGCTACGGGGCTCCGAAGCTGAGGCAGTGTATATCTGACTATCTTAAGTGCAAAAGAGTATCGTGTGGTTTTCCTCGTCGCTGGCTTAGCTCCAATTTCAGGTCTGATCTTCTTGACTAGTAACTGCATTGTTCCCCCTGTGAACAAGTCCATTCCCTGTCCGTCCTAATATAAAGGTCAATGTCTTATCAGCAACAGCTGTGAAACGATGGTGTTGAAACCCACGCACGCCCGGCTTCGCAGACACACCACACACAGGAAGAGAGGTAAAGGAAGGGCCATGGTTTCCTGATGTCTGTTTGTCTGCAGTCGGATCATTTTCTTTAGATAAAACCTCCTCTGTGCGCTCTGACCCGCATGTTATTGTGGCCGGGGCTGGTCAGGAGCTCTCAGGAGAAGCTCACTGTTTGCTAACGACTGTTTGTGGGGACGCTGCTGTGCACAAGTGGCTGCTGCATTCTGTCCACAAAAATATACAGTCACTACACTTTACAGTATATCCTGTGAAGCCCTTTGAGACGTCTCGAACGGGGCGCGATTTCACTGTGTGGGACTGAAAAAGTTGTGACGCTCAGGAGTTGAGGCACACGTCAGTCTGTCTCTCGCCTCCGGGTCAGAAGGCAGCGCTGTGTGTTCACAAACCCCCTCCACCCCAACGCCACCACCACCTCGTCTCGGAAGCTGAGTCCAATAAAATGGGTGGGGGGTGGGGGGGGGGGGGGAGCGAGGGCTGCTGTTTTATTGGGGCCCCAGGTTACAGTGTGTAATTAACTAACGATACTGGTGCTTCTGTTGACGAGGTGTAGATAACAGATTAAATGGTTCCAGGTTACAGACCAGAGGGGAATGAATGTCTGAGGGGCAGCTTGTTACCAGCTGTCATTGTAGGGGCTGATCATTAGCGAGAGCTTTACTAGCCGGCCGGCTTTGCGGTTATTTCAAAGGCTGGTGATTCGTACTCAGGCACGTGTAACCTGGGGCAGAGAGAACACAGGGCGTCGGGGCGGGGGGGGGGGGGGGGGAGTGTGTGTGTGTGTGTGTTGGGAGGGAGAGAGAGCATGACTGTGTGTCGGGGAACGTGTGCGGGTTGGGTGGGAGACTGCGTGTGTGTGTGTTGGGGGGAGAGAGTGTCTGTGTGTTGGGGAGCGTGTGTGTACGCTGGGAGGGGATGGGAGTGTGTGTGTGTGTACGTGGGGGGGATTGTATGTGTGTGTGTGTGTGTTGGGTGGGGGTGGGTGGGGGGGCAGGGTGTCTGTTGGGGTGAGCGTGTGAGTGTGGGGCGGGTTCGCATGCGTGTATCGGAGGGGGAGTGTATGGAAGTCGGGGGAGGAAGACGGTATGGAGGTCGGTGGTGGGGGTGGGGGGGGTGGGGGGGGGTGGAAAGAGAGCAGCTTCCCCTTAACCAATCTGCTCTTGACCTGACGTGACTTGAGTCTAAAAAAGAAATGGGCTGGAAATAGATGGAATGAAACTGCGCATTCCCGAGGGATTACTGCACCACAAACATTCACCAGAGGGAGGGGGGAAAAAAACCTTATGAAGTCAGAATAATGTAATTTGATTTCTTGAATCCAAGGCTCCAAGTCTCTGGACAAGATTCATAGCCTCACAGCTGGTCTGAATAAGAGGGTCACACAACAAATGCGGATTGGAGCTGAGGTACAAATCAGTCACGATCTTACAGAATGGCAGAACGGGCTCCAGGGGCTGAATGGCCTTCTCCTGTTCCTAATTTTTATATATATATATATATAGACCCAGGAAACTCCTGGAAACCCCTGGTTTAAATAGTCACCGCCACTTAAGTGGTCCTGCCGTCAGTGTCCCAGCCACTTCCCATTGCAAAGTGTTAATAAGGCACTTTGCTTAACACGTAACTAATCCCATTCTACAGGGTGTTTCACAAAGTCCTTTCTCCCCCCCCCACCCACACCTCCACAACCCCCCCCCCACCCACACCTCCACACCACCCCCCTCCACCCACACCTCCCCAGGAAGGGGAGGAAGAGAACTGAAGACCGAAATGAGGGATTTTCCGCAATTTCCGCAACGTGACGCTACGTTTTCAGATGGAACGGTGTGTGCGTCTGTGTATGTGTGTCTTTGTGTGCGTGTGTATATATGTGGGTGTGTGTGCGCATGTATGTGCCTGTGTGTGTGTGTGTATATACATGCCTGTATGCATGTGCATGTGCGTGTGTGTGTGTGTGTGCTTACCACGGATGTCTTAAAGCCTGCTCACACGTGTACCTCTTGTTCGGGTCCTTCTCCATCAAATGTTTTATAAAATCTTTCGCTGTAAGGAAAGAAAGAAACCGTCAAACCATCCTGTCAGTGCCAATCAATTCTCCCCAACCGCAACAGGTGAACAGCCGCAGCGCACAGGATTAATAATCCTTGCATTTGAGGCGTCTCGGTGACCCGATAAGGCGCTGTATCAAACGCAAGGATCGTTATTAATTATTATTATTAACTCGTAAAATAGAAAAGCAGAGTGGGGAGTGGTGGTGGGGATGTGGCGGGAGAGAGAGATGGCACAGAGAGAGGGTTGGGGGGGGGGGGGGGGGGGGGGGGCGGGGGGGGGGGAGAGAGAAAGAGGGGGAGAGAGAGGGAGGGATCGGAATAAAGCCTGAAATAGACATGCAAATTTACGACTCTGAACCCGCAAAAGTAAAGCTGGTTTCGCTTTAGTTTAAGTTTAGTTCCGAGCCACTTTGATATCTTTTGCTTTAAGTTAACACAGAGCCCTATTCCTTGGCAGGGGCGCAGCTTGGCAGCTTTGACCGAACAGGATAAACATAGCGACACGTCCAGCCCCATCCCTGCTCGACTCACACCCTCTCCCCCATCCCCTCGCTCTCACTCTCTCTCTCTCTCTCTCTCTCTCTCTTTCCCCTCCCTCAACCACGTCTCATCTGATTTCCGACGAAGCACTCGGTTTCCTTTCTCCATAGATGCTGCCTGACCCGCTGAGTGTTCCCGGCCACTTCTGCTTTCGTTTCCCATCTGATCACCCACTAATGGGTGGTCGGAAACGCACGATCCGCAAGTCCGATGCCCCGGGCGCCAAATATCTCGAAAGGCAGCTACGGTGTAGGGAAGGGGCAAGAGAGAAGAGGGGGGGAAGGCAGGAGGGAACACTACCAACCCCTCGCACCCAGATACGGGCAACGCGACGGGTATTGAGCCCGATTTAATTTGAGTTTGGCATCGTTCAAGGAGAAAAAAAAGTATGGCCGCCTTCTGGGTCACCAGCGACATCGCTTCCTGTTTGTTGCGCAAAGAAGGATGTGATGATGGAGGCGACCCGATGACCCGGAGGTCGGACATTTTACGTCAACAACTACAGCGACGAGTTCCATTTGCACTGCACCTTTGAGGTCAGGAGGATGTCTCGAAGCACTTAAAACCATTGAAGTGTGGACGGTTTTGCACAGAAGAAGGCCGTTTTGTGTGCATCGTGTCCGCGGCCAACAATCCCCCCAAATAATCGGCCGTTCACTTCATGGCTGTTTGTGGGACGTCGCTGTGCGTAAACCTGGCTGCCGCGTTCGCCCACAAAACACACAGTAACCGCACATTTGATCAAACGTCAGGATTATAATTAATAATAATCAGAACGTACCCGAGTCCGAGATGTCGTCCCAGTACGGAGAATCAAACTCATACTCTGCCTTTAATATCTGCTCAAATAGTCTGGAGTCATTTTCGTCGTAGAAAGGAGGATAGCCACATAACCTGTGTGTGCGGGAGAGGGGGGAGTGAAAAGGCAACAACACAGTTAAACGAGACAGTTCGGTAGCGTGTTGGTGAGAGCGCTCGCCTCACAAGCGAGAGGACCCGGGGAGGGCAAAACCTTCACCAAGTTTCCTTACCCCCCCCACCCGCCCCACGCGCGCGCCTCTGTTTACCAGCAGTAAGTAGGAACCCGGTTGTTAGTCGAGTGGCGGATCACTTTCCGAGGGTAATAATCCCTCAAAAAAAGAAAAATTGGTCACTCAATCCACGGCTGGTTGTGGGGACGCTGTGGGCGCGCAATTGGCTGCCGCGTTTCGCCCACAAAATACACCGTCAATCCACTTTACAGTACCTCCTGTGAAGCGCTTTGAGACATCTCAACGACTTGATAAGGGGCTCTATCAAATGCGAGGATTATTGTTATTATTTAATAATAGCGCTCCAAGACATTTACCCCATGTGAAGGAGGCCAAATCAGCCCAAGTTGCTGTTGTCGTAATGGATTTGATGTGGTGCCTAAGGCCGTGTTCTGGGTCGACTTTTTCAAACCCATTTAAAATTTTAAGCACCTCAATAAGGTCCCCTCTGAGATGCCTTCTCTCAAAACTGAACGAAGAGCCTCAGGGAATGAGATCTTTAAGCTACTGAAGGGGGCTCGAGAGGGTAGAGGAGAAATATTCCGAACAAGAGCCGGTGGGCGGGGGGGGGGGGAAGGGTCAGGGGGAGAGGGGGAGAAAAGAGGGGGGAAGTGGGTGCAGTCGGGATCATTTGCAGAAAAATTTAATTTACAGGGGCGGGAGGGGTGGGGGGGGGGGGGGAGTCAGAAGCAACCAAATTGTTTAAGAGAAAACTTTACGACGAAGGCATTTAAAGGGATAAGAATACATTACTTCAATCCTTCTTTCGACGCAGAGCTTTATCCCGCGGGATGTTTCAAAGCGCTTCACAAGATTTGTACTGTGTATTTCTAGGTGGACATGGCACCCGGTTTGCAAGTGAGTGACCTATTTTATTTGGGGGGGGTGTGGGGGGTGGGATTGTCGGCCAGGACACCAGGAGAGAGCGGGAGACCGAGAGAGAGAGAAACTCCCTTCTCTTTTCCCAAGATCTCTAATGTCCACCTGAACAGGTAGACGGGGAGGAGGGGCGGGGGGGGGGGGAGAGAGGTGAGGTTTAACGTCTCATCCGAAGACGACGTCTCCCACAACGCAACGGCCCCCCCCCCCCCCCCCCCCCCCCCTCTGTCTGGCTCAGCGCTGCAATGGGGAGACGTCAGCTTAGACTGTGCGAGGGAAAGGCTCGATCCAGTGAGTCAGCCTCGTTATTTATTGCTTATGTATAAATAGAAATGCAAATGATTGGAACATTATTTGAAGCTGGCTTTCCGCAGAAGCCTCGGGAACGTCAAAGCCAGGAATGATTAACAGCAATCAGCCCCACATAAAGAATAGCTATATTGTGGTCTGAGGAAGTGGGGGCGGAGCGGAGGGGGGGGGGGGGGAAGAGAATTGATCCAAGTCCCGAATGCACAAGGATCACCCTTTCCCCTCATTAGCAGTAAATTGTAGTCCATTATGCAGCAACAAGGTTTGGCTTCGAACGTGTGCTGGCGCTGCTATATATGGACATCGGTGCGAACCGAGGAGGCTGTCGGATCAAAGGAAAAGTTTTTCTTCCATTTAAAAATAAAATAAGAGGGGAAAACCTCAGAACAAGTGATCCGGAGCCAAAGGAATCAGGGTGAGCGAGACGCGATTGCCGGGAGCTGGTGTCTCTACGACACTCTCCTGAATCACTGTGACGCACAATAAAGATCAGGTGGCAATGGTGTTGATTGGCAAGATGCTTTGAGATACGTCTTTGGTATCTTGTTCCCGACACGCGTACACACACACACACGCACGCACACGCGCGCGCGCACGCACAGCACATCAGCCATGATCTGATAGAATGGCGGAACAGGGTCTGAATGGCCTACTCCTGTTCCTACGTAACTTTGTTGTTATAATAATAATAATAATAATAATCCTTGCATTTGATATACATAGCGCCACCATCAACGGGCGAGCCCTCAGCTATTTTGCCCCCACTCTCTGTAAACCTCTGCCCGGGTTCTGACTCCGAGAAAGAGAGAGAGAGAGAGAGAGAGAAAGAGAGCGCTACCACTGAGCCAGACTGACATTATAAATGGAGTTTGCTGTGTTTGCTAGAGAGCCTTCAGCGAGGGAAATGATGATTAAGCATTGGTTCCGCATCTTATCTTCTCCACGTTTGAGCAAAAACGTAGGAAGGGAAAAGAGTCTGTGTTGGGAAAAGGCATCTGGAGAGAGCGACGGGAGGTGTTGGGGGGTGGGGGGTGTGGAGGAATGAAGGATCTAAATTTCACGAGGAGCCGACATATGGAACACGTTAGGTTGTTTTCTTCTCCAGAAGAAGTCAAAATAATAATAATAATAATAATATAATAAAAAAGAGGGCGAGGGAACATGAGGTCTAAGGGTTAGGTCCACTGAGAGCAATTTACGCTGCACCCAAGGCCTCGAGAATAGGTAGTGTTAGCAGACGTAGTGAGTGGCGTAGGTCAGTGTAGGGAAGTAAGTAGGAACCCGGTTGTTAGTCCATTGGCAGATCACTTTTCCGGGGGGTAATAATCCTTTCCAAAGCAACATTAATAATCATAATTTGGTCGCTCAATCCACGACCGTCTGTGGGACGCCGCTGTGCGCGATTGGCTGCCGCGTTTCTCCCCGAAAGACACAGTCACTCCACTTTACGGTGTATCCCGTGAAGCGCTTTGAGACGTCTCGGCGACGTGATGAGGGCTGTATCAATTGCAAGAATTATTGATCTCAAAGCGATCCGTCAACTCAACCACTTGTGTTTACCCAGCGCCCTACACGCGGGGCAGTGTCCCGGAGCGATTAACAGTGGCGTGGAGTTTGGGGGGAGAGGAGGTTACAATAAGGTCTTCCTCTTCGACAGTTTACTTCCCTCTTGAAACCCACAAAGCACTCTGCCTCGATTGCTGTTATTCCCCGTCTCAAACAACTCTCTGTGTGAAAAACCATCCAAACCCTCATTAATCTCCTTCGATTTAAACTCCACGGCCGTCTCTCACCTCTTAAAACAACAGCAACCACAAAAACTTGTATTTATATAGTGCCCCAGAGGGCTTGAACAACAACAACAAATGACATTTACAACAGCGTCTTTCACGTCGGGAGGACGTCCCAAGGCGCTGGGAGTAAGAGAGGGTTGGGGGGGTGGGGGGGGGGGAGGGTTGGTGGTGCAGTCAGAGACCGGGGGGGGCTTTGAGATGGGAAAAGCAGGAGACACAATAATAAGGAACCTGTGTAAACAGGAAACCAGCCGGCGGGTCCCAGTTTAAGAGCTTGAATGTTCATTTACTCGTTAGCTTCAAGCACGTAAATCCTACCGCCAGCCCCATATCCCTCCTTCCACCTCCCCCTGACCCCCTCCCCCCCCACCAATCCCCCCTCCTCACCCCCCGGAGTTCTTGGGAGAATGGGCTCTGAGGGAGGTGTGATAATGGATTTCAGGTCAACGTTAAGACGCATTTCCAACAAACATTGGCGTCTCTCTATCTCGTGCTGACAGCCTGGCTCAGTTGGGTAGCGCTCTCGCTTCTGGGTCAAAAGGCCGTGGGTTCAAACTCTTCAACATCACCGACTCCTCTACCAGTGGAAATAGCTTCTCCCCAGTCGCCCGGCCAAAACAACAACAACTTGTATTAATATCATTAATATCATTCCCCCCCCCGGTGGGCCGGATGTGGCCCGCGGGCCGCCAGTTGGACCACCCTGGCGCAGGGAATCCCAGGAGATTCCCGGGAAAGCGTGGCTCATACTCACAATATGTAAGAGATGACTCCAATGGACCAGCAATCGACAGCTTTGCTGTACGGCTTCTGGGCAAGCACCTCTGGGGCTGTGAAAGGAAATGGAAGAGAATTAATTTTTTTTTGGGGGGGGGTGGGGGGGTCATCCGGGTGTCTGGCACATGCGGAAACCCATCATCGTGCTTAATAATAATAATAATAATAATAATAATAATAATAATAATGCTTGCATTTGATACAGAGCCTTATCACGTCATTGAGACGTCTCAAAGAGCTTCACAGAATATACTGTAAAGTGGAGTGACTGTGTATTTTTATGGGCGAAACACAGAAGCCAACTGCGCACAGCGTTGAGGGGTTATTCCCCCCCACCGCCCCCCGGAAAGCGGTCCATCAATCGACCAACAATTGGTTCCTGCTTACCGCGAGGTAAACTGAGGCGCGTGTGTGGAGTAGGGAAACTTGCTCAAGGTTTTGCTCTGCCCGGGAATCGAACCCGAGTCCTCTCGCTTGCTCTGACCGCTGCGCCTCCCGACTCAGCGTGAGAGAGAAGGGAACAGAGGGGTGCGGGAGAGGGCGATGAGGGTGGGATGGGTGGGTGTGGGTGGGCTTGTGTGGAGTATAAATGGCAGCGTAGACTAGTAGGTCTGAATGGTCTCCTTCAGTGCTGTAATGATCTGTGTGATCGTATGTAATAGTGGAAAATTGCTAAATTCCATCTTGATCTGATTAGCTGTTTTTCCACAGTTCTTAGAAACATATAAATTCTTTGGTCAGAAAATGTGCGCCTGTGTGTGTGTGTGTGTGTGTGTGTGTGTGCGCGTGCGGGACCAACAACAACCACTTACATTTATATAACGCATTTCACCAGGATACACTGTAGAGTGGATTGATCGTATATTTCGTGGGCGAAACGTGGCAGCCAACTGGGTCGTGGGTTGAGTGACCAGAAGCAAACTTGCCTCGGGTTTCGCCCCGGCTGGGAATCGAACCCGGGTCCTCTAGTTTGCGAGGCGAGCTCTCTAACCACGACACCACGGGGTCCCAAACCTTGTATCTGATACCAGGTCATCGAATCACAGAGACGCGCAGCGGAGGAGGAAGCCTTTCAGCCCATCCAGTCTGCCACTCACGTCAGACACACCAACCAGTCCAGTCAATCCCATGGCCTGCCCCATTCCAGCCGCTCCCCATCCGGGCCGGGCCAAGCTGGGCATCGAAGATACCGTGAATCCATCCCAACCCAACAGTCTATCTCTGGGAATTTCCACGCGTCGGTGGGATGCGTGGAATTCTCAGTTTGGCTCGGAGACTCTTAAGCAACGGTGATGGTGATGAGCCTCAGGTCCTCCGCTGTTGCCGTTGGCGGGGGTTCCGCATGTGCCAGACACCCACCCGACCGGGCAAAAAAAAATGCGAGCTCGAAGTCCCCTGAGGGGATGAGCTGAAGTTCCAGCTTGTCTGCATGCATTTAACAAGCAGAGACATGGGCTGTGGACCAGGTAACTGACAATAGGGGGTGGCGAGCGCTTTATTGCTTACAGTCAATGGTGATTTACGGAGTGTGGAGGCCTCTGAAGGGTTCCCGGGCCTGGATACACAAGGAACAGATTCACGCCTCACCAACCAACAGGAATTCCCTTTGATGAGGACACTGACTTGTTGGTGGAAGCAAAACTCCACCGTTTCCAGGAATGGGCGGTCGAGCAGCGAGGACGGTCTGGAAGAACGATCGCATTTGATGCAGCGCCTTTACCGTGGCGTTCGGACGCCTCAAAGCGCTTCACGTAATATACCGTGAAGTGTAGCGACTGTGTATTTTGTGGGCGAAAAACGCGGCAGCCAATTACGCCCAAGCGACGTCCCCACAAACAGCCGTGGGATCGAATGACCAAGTTATTATTATCACATTTGTTTTTTGAAGTGGAACAACCGACTAACAACCGGGTTTCTACTGACTGCTGGTAAACAGAGGCGCGTGCGTGTGTGGGGGGGGAGGGTTAACGGAACTTGCCTAAGGTTTGTCCCTGCCCGGGAATCGAACCCGGGTCCTCTGGCTCGCGAGGCGAGGGCTCTAACCGCTGACCTGTAGGTGCAACAAGTTAAGGGGAATTGTGGAATCAGAAGAGGCAGCAAAGGTAATACGGAGCGAGCTTGACGGGGTTATAAACGTGGGCAAATTGCAGATAAACGCAAAGCAACGAGTGCATGTAGGAAATACGAATAGGAACCACATGTAGTTTAGGGACGGGATGGAATTCGCCAACGGCAAAGCTGAGAGAGTTAGTTGGACTTATCTTTCGCAACGTCAAGTCTGGGTGAGGCACCAGTAAACAAGGCAAACGGGAGCTACGCCGCCAATCCAGTTGAGTTCGAATCCCCAAGAAGTTATATTCAGTCTGGGCCCTCCTCTGGTCAGGACACACTCAAAAGAGTATTCACGTACAGTTCCGGTCGCTGTGACGTGAGGGGACTGTCCAGGGCTTATTATTATTATTATTTATTATAATAATATTATTAGAGGCTGATCACCAGTGTTAAGAGCAATGAGCAGCGATTAGACAAGCTTATTATCATCAATTAATAATAATAATAATAATCCCCCCCAAATAATAAATAATGTGGTCACTTCAATCCATGACTGTTTGTGGGGTTTCGCCCACAAAGATGCAGTCGCTACACTTTGCAGTGTATCCCGTGAAGCGCTTTGGGACGTCTCAAAGACATGATGAGGCGCTGTGTCAAATGCGAGGATTATTAGTATTTTATTAATATTATTATTATTAGGGTGGCTTTTGCAAGAGGACGAGATCAGATAGACTGTTGAGCTTCCGCACCCAAACCACTCTCACGATCTTTTCTGCTCCCTGTGGCTTGGGTGCGTTTACCCACACGGCCATTGGGTTGGGGTGGGGGTGGCGGTCTGGGGGCGACTTTGAAACCTCTCTTAACATCTCAGAGCTTCGACGTTCTCGACCGTGCCTTAAGACGGTCGGTCGATCGATCAGTCGAAGGGCTAAAAACCCCGCTGCTGGGGGAAAAAGAGAATGGAGTTTCTCCCCCAGTATCCCAGCCGACACGACCATTCCCCCCCCCTCCTCCTCCCTCACCCCCGTCACCACCAGATAAAATTGGTCAAAAGGCAAAATACTGCAGGCGCTGTGTTATTGCTATGATTGTGATCATCGGATGATGTAGATGAAATGAAAACAGGAGTCGCTCTCCTCTCTCCATAGATGCTGCCTGAGCGTCCCTGCTGAGCCTTCCCAGCCACTTCCGACAAAATTGCTTCGTTTGCTCCACGGCTGTTTATGAAAGATACAACAGTAATCCTGGCGTCTGATACAGCGCTTCTCGCATCTTCTCGACGTCTCGAAGCGCCTCACAGAATAGGCTGTAAAGTGAATTGACCGTATGTACGTTCGTGGGCGAATGTTTGGGGGACTTCGCTGCGCACGAAACGGCTGTTTGCCTTGGCAGCTGCGGCCGCGAGGTCGGGCGGGTTTTGTCCGGCCGGCCGGGGGTCTGGCACGCTTGGGAAACCCGTCACCGTGCCTTGAGAGTATCCAAACCAGACTGAGAATCCCCTGCATCCCGCTTACACACGGAAGTCCACCGGACTTGACACTAATTGCCAAATTAATTGATAAAGCGACGTTTCTACGTGACAAAATACCACGAAAATACCCTCCCTTTTCTGTCCGTCTCGTTCCTTCTGTCTCTCTTTCCCTCTGTCTCTCCCTCTCTCTCTCTCTCTCTCTCTCTCTCGTTCTGTTTCTTTGCGTTTCTTTCACACCGTCTCTCTTTGAGCTTTCCTTTTTCTTTCTGCCTCTCTCCTCCCTCCTTTCTTCCCTCCATAACCCTCCGCCCTTTCTCCGTCTCATTCTCTCTCTCTCTCCCTCCTTCTTTCCTTCCGTCTCTCTTTCTTTCTCTCTCTCTCTCTCTCTCGTTCCCCCTTTCCCCCCTTCTCTCTCTCTTTCTTTGGCGTCTTTAAAAGGGGGCCTCAGCAACATCATCAAGGGGTAGAGCGAAACAGCTCCTGAGGGGGTGGTTGGGATATGAGCAGTTACAGATGAGACGCATTAACACTGAGAACGCACATTAATCCCCACAGATGTAGAAATGGCTGCTCGGAGCAGATCGGATTTTGTCTACATCTGTTTCATTTCCTGCTCGATACGAGTATCATTAACGTGGGACTCGGGACGGGGAGGGAGGGAGAGAGAAAGAGAGGGGGGGAAACTGTTTTGGGAGGTAAGACAGGCCTGCGGGCTGTCAGTGAGCACGGACCGACGGGCAATGCCCTTGTGGAGGCAGATGCAGCTGTCAAGATGGGGGGGGGCACAACCCCACTAGTGACTCTCCAAACCTGTCGGAGGTCCGCGCGTGTTTGTTCGGGGGTTCCCTCTCCCAGCAATCTCTCTCTCTCTCTCTCTCCGTCTCCTTACTTAAAGAGGCGACTGGAGATCGATTTGCGGGTGGGTGGGTGCGTGGGTGGGTGGGGTGGGGGGGGAACGGTGGGGACTGAGCACTCCCCCCCTCTTACCCTAACCACTCGCTGGCTTTGAGGATACGATCTCACGGCACCCGACCACCACAGGATTCCCTGCGAAACGCTTTGAGGCGTCTCGAAGACGTGATGAGGTCCCTGTGTCAAACGCCAGGGATGTTATGATTAAAGTTGAATGCTGGAATGGTGCGGGTGGTAGACAATACAATGGAATGGATGTGCGTGTAGTAATAATAATAATAATCGTTGCATTTGATACAGCGCCTCATCACGTCTTCGAGACGTCTCAAAGCGCTTGACAGAATATACCGTAACGTTAATTGACTGTGTGTTTTGTTGTGTGTGTGTGTGTGTGGTGGGGTTGGGGGGGGGGGGGTGTTTAGGGGTGGGGGAAGGGGAATGTGGGGGTCATGAAGTTCTTGTTAATTTAATGGACTTAGTATTGCTTTGTTCTGATTTGCTTTGCTTGAGATGTAACCGGAAAACCCAGCAACATTGGCCAAATCTGCTCCGAGTTCCCAAGGCAGGACTCTAACTCAAGGCCCCAATCGCCGTAGCATTTGAGATCAACACACAGGAGACTCTTTCCCCCTTTTCCCCCTTCCCCCCCCCACCTTCCCAGCTCCGGGCCTCCATGTTTTGGGGCAATCGCTGTGGCAACGCAGAAATAAATCCGGCTCATCAAAAGGCTGCTCAGGAACACAGGAACAGGAGGAGGCCATTCAGCCCCTCGAGCCTGTTCCCGCCCTTCTATTAGATCATCGTGGCTTCACCTCTACCGAGATGTTTTGGATGCGCTAATATTTATCCTTTTTAAACAATTAGAATGACTGTCGGAAAATAAAATCATCATCAAAATGATTGCTGAATAATCTCAGCATTCGATACGGTGAACTTAAAACCGTGTCGAAGCGCTTCACAGGACGCACTGCAAAGTAGAGTGACTGTGTATTTTTGTGGGCGAAACGCGGCAGCTAATTTGCACACGGCAATAGAGAGCTCCAGTGGGGGGGAGCGAACCCCAGCACAGACACGACGGGGGGAAGAGAGAAAGAGAGAGAGAGAGAGAGAGCAAGAGAGCAGGGAATGGGGTTAGAGTAGAGAGCTCCAATGGGGGGGAGCGAACCCCAGCACAGACATGACGGGGGGAGAGAGAGAGAGAGAGAAAGAGAGAGCAGGAAAGAGCTCAATGGGAACCAGAGCTTAGGAGAAGTATTTTTTCCCACAGAGTAGCGAATCCACGGAGCATATATTACTGAACTCCCCAGGAGGTGGGTCAATCAATTCCTTCCCCAAAACCCAATTAACTGGATAAGTATCTGCTTGAGGGCAGTACTGGAGGTTGAGATGAACAGACACAAGAGCATCGAGGATACAGCCTTTGATTATGAATATGATGAATATCCCCGAGACGTTAAAACTGAGGTCCCTGAGGTCCCCGTCTGACTGTTCAGGTGGATGTTAGAGATCTCCCACGACGCTATTCGAAAAGAGAAGGGAGTTTCTTTCTCTATCTCTCTCCCTCTCTCTCTCCCGCGGTGTCCTGGTTGACAATTGTCCCTCACCCCACGATAAGAGTAGGTCAGTCACCCCCACAGGCTGTTTTGTGGGACGTTGCCGTGCACGCGTTGGCTCCGCGATCAATCCAGTTATCGAGACAATACAAAATGATGTCTGTATAGCGCCTTTCACGTCGTGAGGACGTCCCGAAGGTGCTTCGTGGTATATCTCGCGAAGCGCTTAGAGATGTCTCGATGACACACAACACACACACACGCGCGCACGCGCACACACGGAATAGTAATAATAACGTCAAGAAGAACTGGAAGAAGGTCGAGGGACGCCTCGAAGCGCTTCACAGGATTTTTACTGCGAAGCGCAGTGACTGTGTGTCTCCGTAGGCAAACGTGGCAACATCAACTCAACAACAACAACAACAGCAACAACAGTCCCGCAGCGTAGTGGTTAACTGCGCTCGTATCACAAGTGGGACCCGGGTTCGATTCCCGGGCAGGGCAAAAGTTTCCGCCCTCCACGCACACGCTTCTGTTTGCCCAGCGCCGAGTAGGAACCCGGTTGTTTGTCCGTTGGCGGATCGCTTTCTGGGGGTAATAATCCCTCAAAAAAAAGTCACTCGGTCGACGGCTGTTTGTGCGCAATTGGCTGCCGTGTTTCGCCCTCAAAATATACAGTCAATCCTCTTTACGATACGTTCAGCGAAGCGCTTTGAGACGTCTCGACGACCTGATAAGGTGCTAATCAGACACGAGGCTTATCATCATCGTTATAATATTGTTATAACAATTTGCATTTATACAGCGCCCTTCACCAGGGAAGCGTCTCGAAAAGTGGGACGCTACCCTACCTGAGGGACTCGATATAAACACAGGTTGTTATTGTTGTTGGAGGCGAGAGTGCGACCGACTGAGCCGAGCTCCCAAACTCTAATGAGGAACTCTTCCACAAGAACCAGTTACACTCGTCTAGCGCCCGCCCTTCACATCGGAAAGACATCTCAGGGCGCTGGACAATCAGGGGTTTTCGGACCCGAGCTGGGAATTGGGCACAGGAGAGATGGAGAGTAGGGGGCGGGGGGGGGGCGGCCAAAGACGCGGTCGAAGAGGAAGGTCTTCAGATAAGAGGGATTGAGGTGGAGGGATCGCGGGATAGAGTCCCAGAGAGTGGGGGCAGAGATGCCGAAGGCCCAACCGCCGATGGTGAGGCGAGAAGTGCGGGGGGGTCTGAAGCAGCCGGTATCTGTCGAACAGAGGGAGCGGACAGGCTATGGGTTAGGAGTCGGAGAGGTGGGGTGGGGTGGGGGGAGCAAGGTGAGGGCTTTGAAGGTGAACGTTCCTGGCTTCAAACCGGATCACTTACCGACGTAACCTGGAGTCCCACAGGCTGTGGACATCACATCTCCCGTTCCCTCCATCTTGGACAACCCAAAGTCACTGATCATGATCTTGGACTCCTTGGCAGGACTGAAGTACAAGAGGTTTTCTGGCTGAGGGGAAAGAAAGAGGTTTTTTTTGGTCGGGGGGAGAAAGGAAAACAAAAGAGACGCAAGATCGCTTATAATAATGATAACGATAATCCTGGCATTTGATGTGACGCCTCATCTCCTCGTCGAGGGGTCCCAAAGCGCTTCACGGAATATACTGAGTGGAGTGACCGTGTATGTTTGTGGCGAAACGCGGCAGGGTAATTGCGTACAGCAGCGTGCCACACGCAGGAGATTTATTGTTGGAATGCAAAGAGACCGTCACAGAGGGTGGGCTCCATCCTGACACTGAGTGGCCAAACACGTCACCTCGGAGCCAGTTCTGCTCCCAGGAGACCCCTCCCCCCCCCATACCACCCACTTACCTCCCCTCCCCGAGGAGAACAGACGACAGAACGCAGCTCGAGTTTGTACGGGCGCGTGAGGAACCTACCTTCAAGTCTCGGTGCACGATGCTCATCTTGTGGAGATACTGTACAGCGTCCAACACCTGCCGGATCAGAGTGCTGGCGTCCTTCTCAGTGTAGAAGCCCTTCTCCACGATCCGGTCGAACAGCTCCCCTCCCGACACCCTGGGGAGCAAGCGGAGGGCGTGAGAGATCGGCTACCAACGTGCGGGCACGTATGTGTCTGCAACAGGTCGAAAGGGAACAGAGCTCTCAGTGGGTTAGAGCTCTCGCCTCGCAAGCCAGAGGACCCGGGTTCGATTCCCGGGGCAGGGGGCGAAACGTTGGGCGAGTTTCCTTACTCCATGCGCACCCGCCTCTGTCTACCTGGAAGTAAATAGGAACCCGGTTGTTAGTCAATTGGTGGATCGCTTTTCCGGGGGTAAATAATTAATAATAATAATAATAATAATTCGGTCACTTCCATCCACGACTGTTTGTGGGGACGCTGCTGTGCGCAACTGTCTGCCGCGTTTCGCCCACAAAACACACAGTCCGTCCACTTCTTTCCGTGTACTCTGTGAAGCGCTTTGAGGCATGACATCAAATGCAAGAATTATTATTATTATTATTGTTGTTGTTGTAGGAACGAAGGGACAGAAGGAGGCCATTCAGCCCCTCGAGGAGTCTGTTCCGCCATTCTACGAGATCAAGCGCCTCAACTCCAATTACCCCATCTTTGCCCCCTATCCCCCGATACCATGACCCTATTAAACATCTAACCACTAAGCTACTGGAATCCACACGGGTTCGATGGGAGAACCGAGGTTTGAACGAAAGCGGGAGAGTCGCTCATTGGTGGGGAGGGGGGGGGGGGGGGGTGGAAAAAAAACACATCAGCCCCATCTCTGCCCCACGGACGGTGATGTTTTCCGTCCCCCCCGTGAGATAGTCCTGGAAACCTGTCGTCTCCGGAGAAACCCGCTGGAGATAGCGGGTCCAGGATCCACTGTCATTCCCAACTCGAGTGCCTCTCCATCCGAGGGGTTCCCAGTGCGGTAGCCCCCTCTAGTGGGCACGGCGCGCACCTCGGCCGAGGCACAGACCAGCCGCGATCTCGTGGCGAGGCGGGACAGGCTCGAGGGGCTGAATGGCCTCCTCCTGTTTCCGGGTTTCCTCTCGCGAGCGCGGAAGTAATAACAGCCAGAAGCCTCGCGCGGCGTCTTTGTGCGTGAGACGCGGCAGCCATGTGTGTCTGTGTGTGGGGTGGGGGGGTGGGGTGGGGGGGTAAGGAAACTTGTCCAATGTTTCGCTCTGCCCGGGGAATCGAACCCGGGTCCTCTCGCTTGCGAGGCGAGCGCTCTGACCAACACACTGCAGGACTCCAGGGTTAAAAATCGATCGCTCATCCCACCGCCGTATGTGGCGGTTTGCTGGGGATCAAAACATTGTTCGTCCCCGGATGAAGCAGTCACTACACTGATAACGATTCTTGCGTGGACTGACCGGCAAGTTCCTTCTCTCGACGTCGTGGTGGACGTGAGAGAGCGGAGAAGAGTGGCGTCTCGGAGCGCTTGGATAATAATCCACGCTCACTGATGCGTCTTTGCCTCCGAACCTTCCCTCTGACAAACGAGTGCTCTAACCACAACGCCACCGGGACTCCACGAGCAGCTATTACTAAAGTGTAGTGACTGCGCTGCGCGCTCCGTAGCTCAATGCCAATTCGGGCACAGCGACGTCCCACAACCGGCTAAGGTCACCGATTTTATTCGGGGTGGGGGTGGGTGGAGGTGGTGGTGGGGGAGGAATTGTCGGCCAGGACACTGGGAGAGAGAGAGAAAGAGAGGTGGTGGTGGGGGGGGGGAAAGGGGGAAACTCCCTTCTCGTTGCCAACAGCCCCCCGGGATCTTTAACGTCCACCTGAACAGGACACGGACGGGGAGTGAGGTTTAAGGTTTCCTCCTCCGAAGGACAGCGTCTCGACAATGCAGCTCTCTCCCCCCCCCCCCCTCCCCCAACGCCCCCCACCCACCCGCAGCTCCTTAAGTTTTATTACTCAATCAAAGCAGTCGTTCCCCCACCCTCCCACACGCATACGCCCCCCTCCTGTCACCCACATGTTAAAGCCACCCTCCTGTACCATACGGTGTGTGACTGTCGCCCTCGGCTCCGCGCGGTGACTAACGCTGGAGCGTCACTGAACTCCCACAGACAGAGACAGGTTTAACTCTCGGCAGCAGATCATCAAATGCATCTTCCCACCACGATCACACGCAGACAGACAGCTACGACCACCCACGACGACAACAAGGTTGCATTTGCGCAGCGGCGCCTTTCACGTCGGGCGGACGTCCCGTGGCGCTGGACAGACGGGGTTACGGACCCGAGCTGGGGGAGGGTGAACAGTGGGGCGAGCGAGGCGGGTGGGGGGGGTGAGACGCGAAGCAGCCGGAGCCCGCTGAGCGGAGGGAGCGAGCGGGATGGTAGGGGGTTTAGGAGGTCGGGGGGAGGAAGGCCATGGAGGGATTTGAAGGTGAGGACCAGGATCTTGAACTGTGTCCTCTGGGTGACGGGAAGCCGGTGGGAGTCGGGCGAGGATGGGGGCGATAGGGTCGTGGAGCCCGGCGCGGGGGGAGGACACGGGCTGCAGAGTTCTGGATGATCTGTAGCCGGTGGAGGGAGGAGTTGGGGCGGCCGAGCAAACACACAGCTACAACCACACATACAAACACATACGCACACACAGGCAGCTGCCACCACACATACACATACATACATACGCACGCGCGCACACACACACACAGCTACAAACACACACACACAAACCGATAGCTACAACCGCACACAGACACACACACACACACACACACACACAGAGACAACTCGCACACAAATATAGCTGTACACACGCGCACACGGATACACTCAGACACACACAACTACACAGCCACACACGGCCCTCCACCCCACACACACATACACACGGCCACGCACGCGCACACCCAGACGCTCCAGTGAGTAACTGGCTGCCACGTTTCGCCCACCAAATGCCCGGTCACTTTACAGTGTACCCTGTGAAGCGCTTTGAGACGTCTTGACGACGTGATAAGGCGCTGCATCAGATGCGGTGATTAATATTATTATTATTATTATTATTGTTCTGTGAGCTGTTCTGCGCACAGCAATGTCCCCCAACCCGAATGGGCGTCTGGTGTGCGTTGTGAATGAGCTTAGGCAACAGTTCAAAGTACCGACTTGGGGGATTGAACCCTACAGCCATCGGACTTAAGAGGCGGGGGGGCTATTGGCCTGGCTTTAAAGACAGAGGTTGACGTCCAACCTCCCGTCCCCAAATTGACTGGAGTCGAGGTACAGATCAGCCACGATCATATATACAATGGCTGAACAATCCTCCTTGTGTTCCTATTCCACCCCCCACTCCTCCCCGCACCCCGGTCTATCCAACCCTTGAGCGTACGGAGCTGCCGGCGAAGGTTACTAAAGTTGATCTCCTCCGAGCAGGAAACCACAAAAAGTTTTAGGGAAATAGAGCAGGTGGCAGAATAGGGAAGGAGGCAGAGATTACCGAGCTGTGGGTTGGAGGGATGGGGAGGGGGTGGGGGAGGAGGTGGGGGGGGAGGGAGTGCTGACTGGAACAGATGATTTAAAGTCTGCTGAACTCTGGGTGACTATTCTTAATTTGAGCAAAAAGCAGCTTAACTCCCTCTCTCTCTCTCTCTCTCTATACCAGAAAACACAGGGCTTCCTTTCATTTGCTCTCCGAGATCAGGAAGTTTCTGGCTGTTGTTTTGTCGTGTACGCGCACACACATTTGCACACGTATGCACACACACACACACGCGCGCGCGCGCACGCGCACCCGCACCCGCGCGCAGAAGAGGAACTTGATGTTACCATATGATGCGGACAAGCCAAAAGCGTAGTGACTGCTTTTCGCAAGCAAACCCGGCAGCTGATTTACAAAGTTAATAACAATAATCCTTGCATTTGACACAGCGCCTTAAGCACGTGGTCGAGAGGTCTCAAAGCGCTTGAAAGGATGTGCGCTCGAGGGGATTCACTATGGATTTGGTGGCAGACGCCTCTTCACTTAAAAGACAATTCGAGAATTCTTTTTCACAAACAAAACCATTCCGCTCATTTTTATTTGCATAATTCCGGCTCAGTTGAAAGGAAATCACGGCTATTTTTTGTAATCACTCACAGAGCTCGCATTTATTTTAATTACTTTGAGCTATCGCACCGGAGCCGGGCATGTTCCCAGGGAAATGTCAAGTCAAGTGCTTTCTTTTTCATTATAAACACATTTTCATTTGTTGTGTTGTAATAATAATCAAAACAATCCTCGCATTTGATATACAGCCTTAACGTGTCATCGAGACGTCTGAAAATGCTGCGCAGAAGATTGACTGCGGATTTTGTGGGCGAAAGGCGGCGGCCAATTGCGCACAGCAGCGAACCCCACAAACAGCCGTGGATTGAGTGAGCAGATCATTATGAGTGCTATTTTATTACATTTTTTACAAAGGGGTTATTACCCCCGGAAAGCGATCCATCCGTCGACTAACAATCGGGTTCCTACTTACTGCTGAGTAAACAGAGGAGTGTGGAGTAAGGAAACTTGCATAAGGTTTCGCTCCCACTGGGAATCAAACCCGGGTTCTCTCGCTCGCGAGAACCCCTCTCCCTCCCCCACACAACCTCCGCTACAGCGGATAAAAAAGCGCTTGCTCCTGGGCTACAAGGGAAACCTCCTCAAGCCTGTAATCTGCCAACCAACCCCTTGGTTGGGCACCATCCCAATCAAGGCAGTCGCAGCACAGGATCCAGCAGGAGGTTACTGAGCCTGGGCAACCCAACAAAAACAACAGCGCATTGCATTTACACAGCGCCTTTCGCGTCGGGAGGACGTCCCAAGGCGCTGGACAGGTATGGGGAGTCCTGTAGCTCGGTGGTCAGATTGCTCGCTTCACAAAGCGAGAGGACCGGGCAGGGCAAAACCTTGGGCAAGTATCCTTATTCCACACACACACACGCACACGCACACGCAATCGGCTGCCGCGTTCCGCCCACAAAATACACGGTCACTCCACCGAGCAGCGTACCCCGTGAGGCGCTTTGAGACGGCTCGACAGAGTGATAAGGCGCTGGGTCAAACGCGAGGATTATTAATATTATTATCCATAGGTTTGTTGGCCAGAATCCTGGGCGATAAAACTGCCTCTTGTTACAAATAGCAAGGCTTATTATTATTATTATTGTTATATTATAATTATTATTCACCAGGCCCGACGGTGGGACGTATATGTGTGTGGGGGAGATGGGGGGGGGGGGAAGTTTTTGGTGCAAGATTAATTCGTGAATCGATTGTACGGATATGAAGAGGCTGGTAGCCAGGAGACAGACGGACGTGCTTGAAGAGGACTTCAAAGGATCAGCATCGGGCTTGATCTGAATAGCAATCAGACGTTATCTGTCAGTTGGAGGCCAGCGCTGAACTGATCTCCATCTCGGAGAATGAACAAGCGAGAGATAAAAGCGAGAACAGACATGCTGTCCCTGTCAGAGCCCTCCTGTGTTTGACACCGAGCTCCCGGTGAGAGACACAGTCTAGCCCAGTGCAACCGTCCAGCCTACACCGACTGGGTAAACTCTACAATAATAATAATAATAATAATAATAATAATGGAGTAAGGAAACTTGCCTAAGCTTTCGCCCTGCCTGGGAATTGAAGCCCGGGTCCTCTCGCTTGCGAGGCGAGTGCTCTAACCGTTTCGCTATAGGACGCCACTGTTTATTTCACGACTGAGGGGGTGAGGGTAAGGGGAGTTTGGGGCTCGAACCTGAATCCCCAAAGTTCTGGCCTACGCAGACGCGGGAGCTCGAGTGACAGAGAACGGCTCACACGACACCAACATATTGTTGAAATGGCACAACAAGGCAGACAGACGGCTGATTGAGATTTATTACACCCCGGCCGATCGTACAACAATCACTGTACAAACTGTAAAGGTTAATGAAGTTACCGAGGGCAATGTTTTCCTGCTCTCTTAAGTACAGTGACTAACTCTGCTGACACGCTCTTAATTAATACCAGAGCCCTCTGCGATTTCTCCTCTCTCTCTCTCTCTCTCTCTCTCTCTCACGCCGGGTTAATTTGGGCACATTGGAGCAAAGCAGAAACCAGGGGATAATGAAAAGCGTCTGCTAATTTGTACTAATCCTGAGGCTTTAAAGATGCTAAGACGTTATCATTAATAATAATAATAATAATAATAATAACAATCTTCGCACTTGTTACGGCACCCTATCGCGTCATCGAGACGTCTGAAAGCGCTTCACCGGATATATTGTGAAGTGGAGTGACTGTGCGTTTTGCGGACTGTGTGTTTTGCAGGCCTGCCCCCATCTCCCCCCACTCCCTACTCCCGCACCCCCCCCCCCACCCACCCCCAGCACTGCACTGGAACATCAGCCTAGACTTTATGAGTTCAAAGCCCTGATGTGGGGGCTTGAACCCAACAACCTTCTGACACCTTTGAGCCCTCTACGTTGCTGATGGGCGCATTTTGTTCATACTCCGGTCATTAATAATAATTGATCCGCACGAAACTGATCGTGTGTGTCGGGCATTGTACAGATCAATGGCCTCTGAAACCCAGGAGGATTTGATGAACGCCAGTCAGCAGCGAACCTCCTGGGGATGCAGTGGGAGGATATTAATGATGTGATAAGCGATGCAAATAGAGGGGAGACAGCAAGACGAAGCTATTCACAAAGGGAAGGGGGGTTCCCTCCTGATTCCCAGGCCGATAACTCTCCAGATAAACTGGTCACTCGTGGAGTCCTGTAGTGCAGGGGCGAGAGCGCTCGTGAGAGGACCCGGGTTCAATTCCCGGGCAGAGCCAATCCACTCAACGTTTGTGGGACACTGCTGTGCGCAAATTGGCTGCCGCTTTTCACCGACAAAACATACAGTCACTACATTTTGTACTCTTTGAGACGTCTCAACGATGCGATACTATACGGCGCTGTGTAAAAAAAGTTGTTTATTATTATGGAGTCCCCTACCTGGGGCTTGAACCCAGAAGCCGCGCAACGCAAAAACAAGTAGCGTGTGACGTGGTTGAGAAGACATCTGAGAACGGAAGGACTGTGCCTTATACTCACAGTTGCATCACGAGGTACAAGTGGTTCGAGCTCTCATAGATATCCTCCAGGGCAACGATATTCTCATGCTTTATTCTGCAATGGGAAAAGGCAAATGGTCAGCGCCTCACATCGTGTCCTTTAGAGATAATAATAATAATAATTAATAAATACGTATAGAAAACAAATAAATAAATAAATAAATAAACCTTGCATCTGATACAGCGCCTCATCACGTCTTTGAGACTCGTCTCAAAGCGCTTCACGGGATATGCTTAGTATTATTATTATTATTATGATGCTGTAACGTGGACTCCCCACGGCGGCGGCCCGCAAACCGCCATGAAATCAGTGACCGCATTTTTTCTTGTTGAGGGATGATTATCCCCGGAAAGCCATCCAAACGACCGGGTTCCTACTTACCGCTGGGTAAACAGAGGTGAGCGGGGGGTGACAAGAGCCAAGGCTTGTGTGGGGGGGGGGTGTGGTGGGGGGGGGGGTAAATCCCAGAGTGTGCGTTGGGCTAACCAGCTAAAACCACATAGCTTGCCCAGCGAGAGCCCGTGTCTGGGAAGCTTTGACCTTCTGACATGAAAGGCACTGTGTCAAATGCGACGGTTATTATCTCTCACGGCAACTTGACTGTGAAGAGGCAGCAGCTACTCGGCCCGGCCAGGTCTTGCAGTCTTCGATGAGATAGATGAATGACTACATTTGACCTTATTTCTTTTACGGGGCGGGCGAGAGACTCTGGACGAGGGAGGAATATTGTTCAGGACACACCGAGAAAGAACTTCTTGTTCTCCAAAACGCTGCCAGTAACATTTTTCCATCTTGAACTGGACAGTCTCGACAAGCCAAGCCTGGTCTGACGTAAAGCAGTCTGAAGGACAAACCTTTCAGATTCTCTCATGTACAAGTAGACAAATAAGTGCGGAAGGAAAGTAGTTAGTGGGGTGGATGGGGTGGGATGGGGTGGGGGAGACAGGGGTGAGAGCAAGGAAGGGGTGCACCAAATCTCTTATGTTGCTTCAAATTTACAATCATCTAAACTTCCCCCCCAAATGCCTTAAATCCGACAATCGCCTAACAACCGGTTTGGTACTGACTGCTGATAAATGGGAGGCGTGTGCGTGGAGTAAGGAAACTTGCCTAAGGTTTCGCTCTGCCCGGGAATCGAACCCGGGTCCTCTCGCTCGCTCTCCCACTGAGCTACAGGACTTCCTATAGCTCCTCAAGGCATTTTTTCAAACTTCCACGCCAGCTAAAAAAAAAAAAAAAAATGTTTTAAAACCGATGGCCTTCAATCTCAGACGAGGGGACATTTCCAGCCGGTGATGAATTGCGCTGTTTGAACCGATTTGATCTGATGATAATTGGGATAATTTGCATTCCATCATCAATCAAACCCACATGTAGTTCTGGTCACCGCGACATAAGGGGATGCCCAAGGCCTAGATACAGCGTGGAGGAGAGCAGAGGGAATGATTCCCGGTGTTGGGAGCAATGAGAGCTATGTGAGCAACGATGAGACGAGTTAGAAGATATCTCATTTGGGGAACTTCCAGAAACTGATTACGTTTTAACTGGGGATTGGAAACGTAAACCCACCACAATATTTTAGGATGCACCGAGACAGCAGAGTAAGAGGACGTGAGTTCAGAGCTTCAAAGGCCAATTTTAGCATGGGCACCTGGAAATGTTTCTTTACCCGGTGGTTAGAGCCCTCGCCTCACAAGCGAGAGGACCCGGGATCTATTCTCGGGCAGAACGAAATGTTAGGCAAGTTTCCTTACTGCACACACACACACACACACACACGCGCACGCACGTACACCTCAAGGAGGAACCTGGTTGGTGGTTGATTGGTGGATCGCTTTCCGGGGTTAACAATCCCTCCAAAAAATAATAATTTGGTCACTCAATCCACGACTGTTTGCGAGACAAGTGGCCGCCGTGTTTTGCCCACAAAGTACGGTCAAACTGTACATTGCAGTACATTCTATTAAGCGTTTTGAGACGTCTCGGTTATTATTATTATGATTATTATTAATTAACGAGTGGAACAGGGTGCCAGGAAGGGTGGCTGAGGCCAGGACACTGGACACATTACCCTGAATAGGCAACCGGCAGCTCGGTTTAACGTCTCAGCCGGAAGATGGCGCCTCTGACAATGTAACACACCCTCAGTGGTGTATTGGGGTGTCAGCCTAGACAACGTCAACTCAAATTCCCCTTGTGGGGGGCCTCGAACCCACAACCTTCTGACTCAACCTTCTGAGCGCTGCCGACCTCCTCTTTCATACGGAGGAAGAATATCTGCAGCTGCAGCTTTGATGCCTGAAACACGTGTGGTTTTGTCGCCTGAAGAGGTTCCGCGGTTCGACATATAAAAATATACATATAATCCGCTGGTGCAAAGAATGACTATTTTGCTTGTTACTGCAGTTTGCATGAGATTAAAGACTAAAGAGTCCGAGAGAGGGAGTTGAGGGGAGGAGCGAGTTGTTGAACAGTTTTCTCGCCAATCTAAAATGAAATCTATTCTAGAAAACGACAATCCTACCGGGTACTGGTCTGCGAGACTCCTTAAAGCCTTAAAGCAATAATAATACTCCTCGCATTCGATACAGCGCCTGATCACGTCTTCGAGACGTGATCGAAGCGCTTCGCGGGACCCGCTGTCAAGTGAATCGACTGCGTAATTTGTTTATTCATGTTGAAAGGATTGTTAAAGCCATTTGCCGGTCGACACACAACCGCGTTCCTGCTTACTGCTTGGTGACCAGAGGTGCGTGGAGCGAGGAAACTTGACCGAACGTTTCAGCCCACCCGGGAATGCAACCCGGGTCCTCTCGCCTGCGAGGCGAGCGCGCTGACCACTAAGCTACAGGACGCCTTTGGCATCGAGAGGATGTCTCGAAGAGCTTCACAGCATTAACTGTGTGCGCAGTAAATCAATGGCGACGACACGACAACAATAAAAATCCTGACGTAACGCCTTAATCGCACGTTTCGCCACCAGCGATCTGCCAATGATGGACAAGCAGCGGGAAAGCTTACCAGACGCCGCTCTCTCTCGCTCTCTCTCTCACTCTCTCTCAATGGCCAAACTGTGCGGCTTCAGCTGGTTAGACTCCAGCAGTTACCCCCAAAGCACACTCTGGGCTCTCCCCCCCCTACGTCTTGGCTCTTGCCAACCCGCGCCCTCTCAAGAGAGAGCCCAGGTCCTCTCTCTTGCGAGGCGAGCTCTCTAACCACTGCGCTCCAGGACTCCGGGCGAAAAATTGATCACTCATCTCACGGCCGTTTGTGGAGCATTGTCGGGGACGCAAAGCAGCGTCCGCCCACGAATAAACGGTCACTACGCCGGGCGCTCATTTCCGTGAACCGCTTCTGAGATGCGTTGAGGAACGGCAGACAAGCGAGTTGTTCGGTCTCTCGACGTGGTGGTGGTGGTGGTGGTGGGGAGGGAAACAGAGAGAGAAATCTAGACGGCTTCCAGTGAAACGAAGCATTAACCCGTTCACTGCGATGGATGAGCCCTCGGCCAAGGTTAACTCAACGTGCATCAGCTGTTGCGTTCGACCTACGAAGGCCTCAAAGAGCTGTCTACCCAATAATCCACGCTCACTGATTTGTCCTCCCTTCAAACCATTGCTCTCGCAAACCAGGCTGGCAATGTGACAGCAACATAAGACATCAGTGCGGAGACAGAGAGAGAGAGAGAGAGGGAGACAGAGAGAGAGAGAGAGAGAGAGAGAGAGAGCACAGAGCGGTGAGCAAGATAGCAATAATCCTTACGTTTGAGAATAATAATAGTAATAATAATAATCCTCCGGTTTGACACAGCGCCTTGTCACGGCGTTGAGACGGCTTAAATCGCTTCGCAGGATAACGCCATAAAAGTGTAGTGACTGTGCATTTTTTGTGGGCAGCCCATCGCGCGCAAGGATCGAGCGAACAATTTTTTTTAAAAGAATTATTATTTTTTTTGTGTGTGTTGGGGGGGGGGGGGGCGGTGGGGAGGAGAGGGGGAAGAATTATTACAGCAGTGCCCTGGAATACTGCGGTCCCACCCGGCTCAGGAACCCGACCGGAGACGGTCCGGTAGGGCGCCGGCTCGATGGTGGCACGTCACCTTGGAGGTAATTCAGCTCCGAGAAGACCTCGCTTACCTTCCCCCCCCACCGCCACACCGCCCCAACACCCCCCCCCCCCCTCCACCCCCACAACCCCCGACCCCAGGCAGAGAGCAAGCACTGCTCACAGACAATAAGATTATTCAAGCGTCCAAGGAAGACGCAGAGCGATTGAGTTACGGTATTAACTGTGAGCAACCCGATCCCAACCCTGCAAGGCTTCTCATCGCGGGAGATGCTCACAACAGACTAGTGAGGATCAGCTGTCGTGTAAAAGGCCCACATTCTCAAATCACAACCCCCCACCACCCCCCCCCCACCATTACCTTGCCCCTACGCCCCATCGTAACCGTGTCTTTGTGGAGTCCTGCTGTTAGTCGATTGGCGGATCGCTTTTCCGGGGGTTAATAATAACAAAAAAAGTCACTCAATCGACGACTCTTTGCGGGACGCTGCTGTGCCCAATTGGCTGCCCGTTTCATCCATAAAACACACAGTCACTACAGTTTACAGTGTATTCTGTGAAGCGCTTTGAGAGGTCGCGATGACGTGATAAGGCGCTGTGTCAAATGCCGGGATTATTATTATTATTATTTTTACAACATTTTTTTTATGACTGACAAAGAAGAGGAAGGTCTTAAGGTCTTCAGACGAGACCTGAAGGAGGGTATGTGTGTGTGTGTGTGTGTGTGTGTGTGGGTGTGGGGTGGGGGTGGGGGGGGGGTAAGGCGGAGGGATTGAGGGAGAGAATTTTGCGGGCGAAACGCGGCAGCCAACGGGGCACAGCGGTGTACCACAACCAGTCGTGATGGGAGTGAATGTCAATCCCACTGGCATAAGCATTGCCGGGGCATCTCACTGACTGTTCCCGCTTCCCTCCGCCCCTCACCCCTCACCCCTTCCAGCAAAACCTTCCAGCGCCTGAGTCCTCGACCCTGCAAGTGAATGGAGCGTATTGTCGACAAGCAAACCTTCCTAACAAAGGAGGGTTTGTGTGGCGCTGGCTGGGAATTTCCCACTGCGATTGATAGTATCTTTACCAGAGAAATCTGCAGCTTCTGCGTGAACCTTCCCTCACCCGAGTACCCGCACGCGCACAAGACTGGCTCCGCAACAAGTTACACGCGGTCGCATCGCCGCGAAACGTTTCGACAACGCGAGACGGTGCTGTGTCAAACGCAAACATTGGTTAACATCGACCCAACGCCTCATAGTTTGGTCGAGACGTTTCAAAGCACGTCACGGGGATTGCTGTAAAGTGTATTGAGTATTATTATTACTCCAGGGCGCTCACCGCTGGTGATAGCACAGCCCGGGGCAGGGAATCCTCCCACCTCGGCTCCTGTTAACCCCACAGCCAAAGCCCTAACTAACGGAGAGGGTGGTCCGAGCTGGACGAGCAGCGGGAAAGCTTGGCCAGACAGCGCTCTCTCTCTCTCTCTCTCTCAATGGCCAAACTATTTCTCTTCAACCATGCCTTCACCTCCCCTCTCGACTCTCTAACCCCTCCTCGCTCCCTCCCTTCCCTCCCCTCACCCTGACCATTTCCCCACTGCTCGGGTCCCGACCCAACTGTCCAGCGCCTTCGGACGTCCTCCCGACGTGAAAGGCGCTCTGTAAATGCAATCTTGTTGTTGTTGTTGTTGAGCTGGTTAGACTCCAGCAGTTACCCCCTCTCTGGGCCCCCCCCAAGCCTTGGCTCTTGCCAACCTGGGCCTAATACTTTCTGGAATTAGGTAAGCAGGAGGCGTTCCTCCAGGGAGAGAGAATTCTCAGTTGGATTTGGAGACTCTTAAGCAACGGTGATGGGTTTCCGTGTGTGTCAGACACCCGGCTGACCCCCCCCAACCCCCCCCCACCCCAAAAATTATTATTTTGTAGAGTGGAATTTGAGGTAATAATAATAATAATAATCCTTGCATTTGATAGAGCGCCTTATCACATCTTCTCGACGTCTCAAAGCGCTTCACAAGATACACTGCAACTGTATATTTGTGGGCGAAACACGGCAGACAATTGCGCACAGCGACGTCCCCACAAACAGTCGTGGATTTTTTTTTATATGTATATACAGATCTCCTAATCAGAGAGTCCTTGCGTCGCACTCAGTAGAAGACGAAAGAGTTTCTCACCTCCTGAGGACAGCGATTTCGTTCTCTATGCTGCTCTCTTTGCCCTTCAACGCCTTCTTCGGGATACACTTAATGGCAAAGGTCCTCCCAGTGGCCCTCTCCTCAGCCATCACCACCTCGGAAAAGGCCCCCCTGGGAAGCAGAGAGAAGAGAGAAGACACAGGAGGTTTACTTTAGATCTTTCGGCGTCTCCGCGGAGATCGATGGAAAGCTGCAACGACTAACGTACGTCGACAACTTGTCGTGAGGCTTGAACCCACAACCTTTGTGACTCAAAGGCAACTTGTATTCGTACAGCGCCCATCACCCAGGGAAGGGTCTCGGAGCGCTTAACATTGGGGGAGCCTGACACTGCGAGGGGGGAGGAAGGGAGGAGCGGAGTGATCGGTGAGCGAGAGCGTGAGGAGCTCGAGATCGATCTCGCTATCAAGCCGGCCAGCCAGGTGACCACAGGGGGGGGGGGGGGGCAGCGTTAAGCAACGAAAGCACAGAGGGATAACGGGCAAAGAGCAGGTAAAGGGGGGGGGGTTAATACTGGGGGAAAAAAATCACAGGAAAGAGAAACAGGCAATGCAGAGACCCTTCTGTGCTGAACATTTCTGTAAGTGAACAGCGGAGAGGTTTAGCCACTGAGTCCAATTTCCAATCGACTTTGACAACGGCTCAATCGGGATTTATTGCACATTTAGTTAACTGGTCAGTTTGGTATCTGCCTGGGAAGGCGAAGTGGCTAAGGACAGCATGACTTAACGTCTCTCTCTCTCTCTCTCTCTCTCTGCGTCTCTCTCTCTCTTTCTCTCTCTCTCCGTCTCACTGGACCTTGTCATGCTCCAATATCCTTCGGCCACCCCTTCTGTTACGTTCTGTGGGTGGGTGCGTCGCTGTGCACAATCAGCTGCCCACAAGGCACACGGTCAATTGACTTTGCAATGTATCCCCGTGAAGCGCTTTGAGACGTCTCAAGGACGCGATAAGGCGCTGCGCCAAAGGCGAGGACGATAAATAAATAAATAACAATAATATTCCTCGCATTTGGTACGGCGCCTGGTCGCTGCTTCAAGACGTCTCAAAGCGCTTCACAGGATACACTGTAAAGTGACTTTACTGTATATTTTGTTCTACGTATTGTAATAATTAGCGAGACAGCTTGTGCGAGCTGACGCGCTGTGCAGGGGGGGGAAAACAAAACACAGCGGGTAATTCTTTCCTCTGGAGGGAAAGACAAGATAACCGAGGCTTCGATTTTTAATTAAAGATTAGTTTCTCCTGTCAACTCAGTTTTGCTCGCTCCCTAACCCACCTTCCCACTTGCCACCGCCTCTGGACACAGTATTCTCAGCCAAACCCAACTTCCCTCATAAAAAATAATAATAATAATTCTTGCGTTTGATATAGCCTGCGGCAGCGTCTCAGGGACGTCTACAAAACGCTTCACAATATATACTATAAAGTGGATTCACTGGGCATTTTGTGGGCGAAATCCGGCAGCCGATTGCTGACAGCGATGTCCCATAAAGAGTCATGGATTGAGTGGTTCAGTTTTCTTTGAGATGGGGTGGGGTGTGGGGGGGGGGGGGTTCAGGGGGAATTATTACCCCCGGAAAGCAATCTGCCAATCGACTTGAGAAACAGATGCGTGTTGAGTAAGGAAACTTGCCTACGGTTTCCACTGGCGTCCTGGCCGACAATCCTCCCTCTCCTGCCATCCCACCGCAAATAAACTGGGTCATTCGCTCCGCGGCGGTTTGTGGGCCACTGCCGCGTGCAGACTGGCTGCCACGCTTGGCCCACAATCTACACAGTCACTCCACTTTACAGCATATCCTGTGAAGCGCTTTGGGACGTCTCGAAGACGCGATAAGGCGCCGCAGCAAACGCCAGGATTGTTATTATACATCCGGCGAAGTGCGCGGAGGCAACAGCAGCAGCAACAACTTGCGTTTTACAACCACTTGCATTTACAGCCACTTTTGCAGCGTCTCCTTCGCGCAAAGCAAGAGTCCCAGAGCGCTGAAAGTGCGCTGCACCAAGTGCAAAGATTATGATCGTTAGAAGTGATTAACGAGGCGCATAACTCGAGGCGAAAACAAAAACCTGGGGATAAGCGGATTTTGCACGGATCATCCGGGTGGGTATAAGTGCGTTCGCCTGTAATTAAAGACATTAAACCGTTGATTTCCTGACATACAGACTAGTCATGCAGTGATTTACTCCGGCGTGGGAGCAGTGCCAACCTGTGTCATCTTCATCCTCTTTTTTTTTAAGAAAAAAACAACAAAAAAGTAAATTGGATTTCGATTCACTGCTTGAGTTCGAGTGGGCAACACTTCTGCCTAAACGTCTCTTCTTCCCAGAAATCGCACACGCCATACCAGTTTGCGTTTCCGCAGCGTCTCAGAGCGCTTAATCGCTAATGATATCGATAAGAACACTCCTCGCCTTCGATACGGCGCCTGAGCGGGCCGTTGAGACGTCTCGCAGCGCTTCGCAGGATACCTGCCAAGCGAATCGACCGCGTATTTCGTGGGTGAAACGCGGCAGCCGATTGCTCACAGCAACGAGCGTCGCCCCCGCAAACAGCCGGGGATTGAGTGACCGAATTATTATTACTATTCATTTTGTTGAAGGGAAAAGCGATCCGCCGAGCGACTGACACCCGGGTGAGATAGACAGAGGCGTGCGGATTGAGGAAACTCGCCCGACGTTTCTCCCCGCCCGGGAATGGAACCCAGGTCCTCCCGGCTGGCGAGGAGAGTGCTCTAACCACCTCTAACCACCACCTCTTCTGGGAGCTCATCGCATGCCGTTTGCTATGGGAATCGCACCACAATGCAGAGGAGATGCTCAGCAAAGCAAAGCGAAGCCTCGGCTTGTTTTGACAATCCTGCCGCCACGCCTACGCTGGTGAAATGTGGAAGCAACAACAGAGAATCGTTCTTTTTTGTCATTTCCGCGTAATTAGCGGTGTGGGGTTTGCTTAAAGATTACCTTGTCTGAGCTGTCGAGGTTACCTGAGCAAAATAAAGGAGGTTTCTGAGTCATTTTGCAGGTTTAACATTTTACAATAATAATAATAATAATAATAATCCTGGCATTTGATACAGCGCCTTATCACGTCGTGCCTGGGGTTTCGCCCTGACCGGGAATCAAACCCAGGGTCCTCTCTCTTGCAAGGCGAGCGCTCGAACCACTGGGTCTCCAAAGCGTTGGGCTGAACAGTCTCCTCATGTTCCTACGTCCTGAAACAACTCAGGAGCGCAGAGGCTCAGTGGGTGACTGGAACAGCACAGATACAAAGCAAGGGAATTGAAGGCAGCAGAGAGGACGACGGATAAATCAGTCACGGACTCCCCAGTGGGTACCGAGTAATCGTTCGCTGTTACTTAATTTCAACGATGGGATTCACCAAGAAAACTCATCATCAAACGGCAATCCGCCCACACAGTGCCTAAATCTCGGAGTCGGAGATTATTTGTGAGCGCAAGAGCCTCTTTGGCTCGCCACTTCACATTAATACACTGGATATCATCGTCCCCCACCACCTCCATCGCCCTCGCTCCCCCGCCATGACACTGGTCGAGAATAAAAAAATATTCCAAAGCCTTTTCAAAAAATTTTTTTAAAAAAAAGACACAGCCTATGCGCATAATTCTTTCTCTTCCCCCAACCCAACCCAACCCCCGACAACTTCCCCTTTTAACCCCCCCCCCGCCCACCACCACCGTCCGCCCCACCCGGGTTTTCACTGCTACAAATCTGTGGAGTCCTGTACCTCATCGATTAGAGCGAGAGGACCCGGGTTCAATTCCCAGACCGGGCGAAACCTTGGGCAAGTTTCCTTACTCCACACACACACACACACCCCCACACACACTCGCCTCTGTTTACCAGCAATAAGCAGGAACTCGGATCACTCAATCCACGACTGTTTGTGTGGGACGCTGCTGTGCGCAATTGGCTGCCGCGTTTCGCCCACAAAATGTACAGTTCGGTATGTTCCGCGAAGCTCTTTGAGATATCTGATGAGGCGAGGATTATTATTATTATGGTTATTAATAACAATCCCGTCACTCTCTCTCATCACTCTCTCTCTCTCGCTCTGATATCCCGTGGATCACACTCTCTGGGATACAACGCTCATCCCGAGGCGAGCTTCAGGTCACACCGAGCGCAGATCAAGTTGAAGCAAATGAGGAACAGAGCGAGGCTTCATACCCGTAATCAGCTGATCAATGAGCCATTAAATCTCCTTTGCAGCCGAGATGTAACAGATATTTATGCCTTTTCATTTATTATATCAATCTGCTGCGGTTCAGGCCTGTAGGGTAGGGTGGTTCTGTCTGTGCGAGCGACGAGAAATCTTGCCAGACAGTGCACTGAATGGCGACACGGGCTCAAGGCACTGAATGGCCTACTCCTGTTCCTGCGTTCCTGTTGAACGTAGTAATAATAGCATTTGATACAGTGCCTTTCACGTCATGAACACTTCCCAAAACGCCTCAGGATGGATATACTGTAAAGCCACAGGATTTACTATCAAGCAGCGGGTCTGGGTTTCGCGGGCGAATGCTGCAGCCAATTTGGACACAGCAACGTCCCGCAAACAGCCGTGAAACGGACGACCAATATTATTTGGAGGGAGGGAGGGAGTGAGCGAGGGGGTGGGTGTGTGGATTGGGATATTCTCAAGTGCTCTGATGGGATTCCCCCGTGAGTTAAGCCACTCGGCTGAACTCACAGTAAAAAAATTCCTCACTGTCAAAAGCTGCTGTCAATGTTCCCATTGCAAACTGAATGCAAACACAGTACTCCTGTTAACTGGTCCTTGGTGTCGAGTGTATTTACACGTCCTAAACAGCTGCGCGCCTCAGTGAATGTCGCAAGCCTTGCAGGTCAGAGTCGCTTAATCCCACTGGCTCGCCGACAACACTGAGCAGAACAAAGAAAACGGCCCTTTCGACCACCACAACAACTTGTATTTCTACACCGCCCTTCACACACAGGGCAGTGGCTCAGAGGGCTTGACAGCGGAGCGGAGGGGACGAGGGACAAGCCGGAGGCCGGAGCCAGCCGAGCGGAGGCCCTGGGTAGTGGGTTGGAGGGGGTTAAGCAGGTAGGGGAGGTGATCTCGT